AGGCCGACCCCACCCGCTGCAGACTGGGCGAGAAGGGCCGCTCCCTACGCCCCGGCTCAGATCTCGGTGGGCGGTGGGGGCCTTGGCACACACCCGCTCTCTTCCCGACAGCCTTGGCGCCGCGCCCACCCTGGCTCCAGCCAATCCCCTCCGAGATCGCTGACGGGCCAACTCGCGCGAGAGAGCTGCACGTGACAATGCCCGCAGCTCTGGGCATGCGCTCTTGCACTTTCGAGGGGGCGAACACCACAGGGCAGGACTAGACCCTAATTCCCACGCGGGCGGCAGGGCTTTGGTCGGTCAGGGCTGGCCGAGGGCCACACCAAGAACATGGTAGGCGCAGGAACCCTCCAGCTTCTTTAAGGCTCACGCTCCCCAGCCAGCTTCCAGCCCCGCCCCATCTCAGCTGCGCCCCCTCCTCATAGTGTGTAGCCTCCCAGGCCTCCAGCCAGAGCCTTGCTTCTTCTGCAGACAGCTTCCGGGGGACTTCACTCTGCCCCGACTCCAGCCCCGCACTTTTCACCGCTTCCTCTTCCTCTCCAGCATGAAAGCCACCCTCCTCCCGCTTGTCCTCTCCCCCATATGGTAGGCAGGTAGACATGAGCAGAGTAGGAAGGATAGGCCACGTACACAAGGTCACCAGGGTGGAAAGTCCCAGGTGCCTGGAAAAGACAGTTGTAGGGTGGAACCTCACCCCCAGGTGACCTTTCTTCTCCTAGCATATCGTTGGTCATGCAGCTCCCCAGGCATGTGGCTAGTCATGTGGTAGACTCCCTTCAAGGAGGAAAAGGGGTTGGAGAGTAGACTCCCATACAAGACCTCGCATGACCACTTCCTGAAGCATTAATCCCTCAAGACAATGAGAAGACCTGAATCAAATAACCTTAGGAACAAAGCCTGGGGTCTGTTGACCAGAGACCGAGTTTCCATCAAACTGGAGAGAAAAATCGAGGCCTCAGTTGTGTTTCAGTTCCAGGCCCAGAAAAGCAGCCAAACCAAACACCATGGCTGAGGACTGGTGGGGGTCAACCAATCAGTGGAGACCAGGACCCTAAGGACACTCCTGATATTCTATTGAGATCCTTCCCTGAAACCTCCAAATAAAAGCCCTTAAGAAGAAGGACCCACCAAGCGTGTGTGGCTCAGTGGTTGAACGTTGACCTACGAACCAATTCCAAGTCAGGGCACATCGTTGATATTTCTATCTCTCCCTTCCTCTCTGAAATATATATATATGATGAAGGACCCAGCTCAAGCTTTCTAGAGCATACCTTGCTTTTCCCCCTTCCCTCCCCCCAGGGGCATTTTCTTTGCCTTTCTTTCTCCTAAGCTCCAAGGGTCCTCTCTTGTCTCTGTAACTAGTTTCCTGAGTCCATGCAGCCCAGCTGGCTCCCTTCTTCCACGATTTGCTTCTTCTATGTGTTATTGCCCCTCATCCTCCCCATGGATGCAAGGGCTTCTACCCGCAGGATGGGGGTGAAACCGGCTCCCCAAAGTGCTCAGCTAGGGTTGAGAGGAACTCTCAAACACCCATCTGGAACCCGGGCTTCCTCTTAAGGAGATGGGCTTGA